TCAGCCCTCTTTCCCCAAAGTAACACATAAGACCTGTAAACAGAAGAGCAGCAGTTTTTATTTTTTATAGTTTCTTCTCCATGTCACTCTTTATCTAAGAAAGAAAAGATTAGAGTCTATACCAAGCACACTGAGTGGTTACTTGTGTGTGTCTTTAGGCAAGTCATTTGTCTTTTTTTTTTCTCTATCCGGTGAGGCAATCAGGGTTAAGTGACTTGGCCAGGGTCACACAAGCTAGTAAATGTCAAGTGTCTGAGGCCGAATTTAAATTCAGGTCCTCTTGACTTTAAGGCCAGAGTTTATCCACCGTGCCACCTAGCTGGCTCAAGTCATGTGTCTTTTCTGACCTTCAGTATCCTCATCTGTAAAACGAAGTCAGACTAGATGACTTTTAAGGTCCCTTACAATTCTAAACTGTATGATCCTAAGTGGACAGAGATGGTCTATTTCCTCTAGGTGGGACTGCAGGGTCTTACCCTGAGTCTGTATCTCCTAGCTTGGACGTCCAGGCACTCCTACCTTGGTGTTATACAGCTTCTTCCAGGTCAGAAAATGCAGAAATTATCTGGAAGATGCAAACAAATGCAGCCTGAAGACTGAGACTGGGCTGTGTATGCAAATACAAAAGATGCTAGGTGCCTATGAGCTCAGAAAAACAAGTCATTGGCAGGGGGAGGGGCAGGGAGTTTTGATTTTAAGGAATCTGTCCACTTCTTAAAGATCTCTTGGGATGGCCATTCCCTGGGCTAAATGCTATAATGTGGCAGTGTCTATTAATGTCAGATTTCATATTCTTGGGCTCAAAGATCACTTGTAAATGGTGATCACAGCCATGAAATTAAAGGAACTTGCTCCTTGAAAGGAAAGCAAATCAACGTACTAAAAAGCAGAGACATCAACTTGTCGACAAAGGTCCAGATCAGGCCCAAGCAACCTGTGGCCCGCCAAAGGATTTCGGGAGGAAAACATCCTCTATATTTTTCAAGGGCCACCTGAAATCCTTTAGCAAGCTGCAGGTTGTGCAGGCCTGGTCCAGATAGTTAAAGCTATGGTTTTTCCAGGAGCACTGCATGGCTGTGAGAGTTGGACCAAAAGGAAAGCTAAGCACGCAGAATCGACACCTTCAAAATGTGGTGCTGTAGAAGACTTCTGAGAATCTCTTGGACAGCAAGGAGATAAAATCAGTCAATACTTACAGAAATTAATTCAGACTATTCACTGGAAGGTCAAATACTGAAGCTGAAGCTTAAAATACTTTGGCCACATAATGAGAAGATGGGACTCATTGGAAAAGAGTTGGGAAAGACTGAAGGCAGAAGGAAAAGGGGATGGCAGAAGATGAGATGAGTAGATAGAGTCATGGAAACAACAAGCATGAACTTGGACAGACTTTGAAAGTGGAGGATAGAAGGGCCTGGCATGGTGTGCTGGTCCATGGGGACACAACTCAACAACATCACAACCCTATGTTGCTGAACTCCCTGGCTTGGATCTGAAGGTAACCTTCTCAAGCCTCTGGTTGTCCCATTTCCCATTCTCCTGGCTAAGCATTTTCTAAGCCTGCATAAGGTGTAAGACAAGCAGGTTGATATCCAAGGTAAGAAGCACAGATAACCTTTGCTCTCCAAGATCCCCTCCCTGAAGCCTGGTTTTTATTGGATTCAGCGGTGTCTGACCAGAGCACCACCTGTTTCCCTAGTATTACTGTCAGACATTAAGGGTCCTTTGACAGAAATATAATAGGATATGAAGAAATACCACACTAAGGAAGAAAATAGCCTATCCATAATAGTCATACCTTACTTCTGCGATCAGTCCTGCTATCAAGATTTCCTTAGCTTTCCCCAAGTTCAAGATGGGTCCTGAGAAATGAATGGGCAGAGAAAGCCTCCCTACTCAAGAAGCTGCAGACTAGAGCAGGTTAGTTACCCTGTCATGATGGCTCTGACTGACCGGCCACTCTGTCTGGAGGATACCATTAGACAGAAGTTCTTCAGATGGGTACAAGGCTCCTCTTCCATGTCCTCCATCCCCATCCCTCCTTCACAGAGTTGAGATGTTCTTCTCAAGCAGAGGAAGAGTGCTTTTCTTGCCCTGAAAGTTTCTTCTCTAAGTGATCTTTATCCAAGAGAGAAAAGAATAGACTGTCTATACCAAGCCCCTTGAGCATCTCAGGATTAGTGTAATGTTTAAATTCTGTGATCCTATGACTTTTCACTTTTCCTATCTATACTCCTTTAAGAACTCTTTGAATAAGTCGTTTTCCTTTCCTTTCAATGCAATTCAATAGGCAGTGATTAAGCACTTACTATTATTAATGCATCTGCCAAGGACACTTACAATAGAATAAGAGCGCTTAGTGAGGAACAATTGTTTCATTCCTTGAACTCATACACTCAGACCAAGCCCTGTGCCTGGAACACAGTAAGTGCCTAATCAGTACTTATTGACTGATTGACATTAATACAAAGATGAAATCAGAAACAACTCCTGCTCTCTAGGACTATGCAGTCTACTACATTTAGACCAATTATCATGTGACATAAATATGTGATAAATACTTGAAACCAACTTCATGCTTTTTATCTGACAATTCTCATATCATACCAATAGCTAGAATTTATATAGCACTTTAAGGATTGAAAATTGCTTTACAAATATTATCTCATTTTTATTATCATAACAACCATGAGAAATAAGTACTATTATTCCCATTTTACTGATAAGGAAATTGAGGCCCAGAGAAGTTAAATGATTTGCCTGGCGTCACACAGCTAGTAAATGTCTGAGGACAGATTTAAACTTAGGATTTCAAGACTCCAAGTCTAATGCTCTATCTACTATACCCCCTACCTGCCCCCTGTTATAAAAAATAAAAATGACAATAACAACTGTAGATTTAAGTTAAATAATTTTTTCTTGCTCTTTCTGATTCTTTTCTGTAAACCTCTCTGGGCCTCAATTACCCTATCTGTAAAGTGAAGAGTTTGGACTAGGTGATCTCTGAGGTCCTTTTCACCTCAAAATATATTGGCTTATGAGCACAGTACCTTTCTCCTTCCCTCTATCTTGTATCCATCTAGCTTTTTACATTTTGTACTGTTCTCCCTTAGAATGTAAATTCTCCTTAGAGGAACAAGAAACAAGTTGCCTTTCAGATTTATGGCTTAGGGAAAGAGTTCATGAGGAAATGTGATAGAATTAAAGAAAATAAAACAGACAATTTTGATTATATAAAACTTAAAAGTTTTTGCAAAAACAAATGGGAAATTGGCAATTGGGAAGAATTTTTGCAGTGGACTTCTCTACTAAAGGTCTCATAACATATATACATATATATTTAGTTATATGGAATATATGTATGTATATATGTGTGTATACACACACATAGGTAATAGATTCAAATTTATAGGATTAAGAACCATTTCCCAATAGATAAATGGTCAAGGACTATAAATAGGCAGTTTTCAAAGGAAGAAATCTAAACTATCCATAATTATATTCTTAAAATGTTTCAAGTCACTAATAATTTGAGAAATAGGAATTAAAGAAACTCTGAAGTTCTATCACACACCCATTGGACTGGCAAAAAGGCCAAAAGAGGAAATTGACAAATGTTGAGCAGACTGGGAGAACAGGCACACTAATGCATTGTTGACGGAGCTGTAAATTGGTCCAGCCATTCTGGAAAACAATTTGAACTACGATGAAAAATAAATTACTCAACTGCGTATACCATTTGACCAGACTAGATTCATGTTATTTAATCATTTCAGTCGTGTCCAACTCTTTGTGACCCCATTTGGGGTTTTCTTGGCAAAGGTACAGGAGTGGTTTTTCATTTTCTTCTCCAGTTCATTTTATAGAGGAGGAAACTGAGGCAAGCAGTTAAGTGACTTGCCCGGGTTCACACAGCTAGTAAATGTTTGAGGTCAGATTTGAACTCAGGAAGATGAGTCTTTCTGCTTCCCAGTCTGGTGCTCTATCTGCTGCTCCACCTAGCTGCCCACGCCCTAAAGAAATAAAATAAGAGGAAAGGGACTTCTAGTTACAAAAATATTTGTGGTAGCTCTTTTCCTAGAAGCCAAACAGTAAAAACTGAAGGGATGACTTCTTATTGGAGAATGGCTAAACAAATTATAGTATGTGTTTTTTATTATAAATAGTATTTTATTTTTTCTAATTACATGTAACAATAGTTTTCAACATTCATTTTTAATAAGATTTTGAGTTCCAAATTTTTCTCACTCCCTCCTTCCCTCCCCACCCCTCTCCCCAAGATGGCAAACAATCTGATATAGGTTATACATAGCATGTGATTGTAATGGAATATTATTGTGCCATGGAGAATTATGAAATGGACACTTCAGAGGAAACTGGGAAGATCTTTATGAACAGATACAGAGAGGGGGGAGCAGAAGTAGGGGAAAAAATTATACAGTGACAACATTATAAAAAAAAGGCTTTGAAAGACTTTAGATCTCTGATCAATTCAATGATACACTGAGTCTAGAGGACTGAAGATGAAACAGGCCTCCACCTTCTGTCACAGAGGTGATAGATTTAAAATGTAGAATGAGACATATATTTTTGGACATGGCCAATGTGGGAATTTGTTTTGCTGGACAAAACATTAGTTATGAGGATTTTCTCTTTCTTTTTTTAAAGAATGTTGGGGGGAGGAGACAGTGAGAGGAAAAGATAATAAATGCTTGAATTATATATATGTGTGTGTATATATATATATATATACACATACATGTTTATAATTTAAAAAAATTAAGATCATTGAGGGCAGGTGTCAGAGGGTAGGAGAGAATTTGAAACTAAATTTTTAAAATAAATATTAAAAAAATTTACATGTCATTGGGAAATGTTTAATGAAATTAATAAAATATATTAAAAAACAAAAACAAAAGATCCTTGAGGGCAAGAACTGTAATTTTTTTAACCTTTCTTTGAAGCCCTAGTATTTGGCACAGTAAGTGTTTAATACATACTTGGTTACTTCAGTTATCTTTTCTTCAGTTTTGTGTTTCCTCACTTGTTCCAGAGTCAGACTGGTCTAGTATCCACCTATTGGGACATGAGAAAAAATGAGTTACTGAGGTCAAATTGGCCCTTGAATGAAAGAACATTGAATATGTACTATACATTGTAACATCCAACTCAATTCAGATTTCATTGATGTGGGTTCTTCTCCTTACACTGATAATCACACGCTTTATTGAAGGTCTTCGTGGGTTGCAGTAGTCAAAAATATTCATCTTCTGGTGATGAGCTTGCATTTAGCTAGATTAGTCCTTGGACCATAGATGAGGTAGTCTAAACTCAAAGTATACCAGCCTACACTCAAAGCCATCACACCTTGGTTTTCGTGGTTGTTCAGTCATGTCCAACTCTTTGTGACCTCATTTGGGATTTTCTTAGCAAAGATACTGAAGTGGTTTGCCATTTTCTTTTTCAGCTCATTTTACACATGAGGAAACTGAGGCAAGTAGGGTTAAATGATTTGCCCAGAGTCACATAGCTAGTAACCGTCTGAGGCCAGATTTGAACTCAGGAAGATGAGTCTTCCCGACTCCAGGCCAGGCCCTCTACCCACTGCACCATCCTTATTGCTTAGTAAGACTTTCCAAGCCCTGGGCTCCTCTAGCATAGCCATTGAGAAATCAGAGTCTCCTCCATATCATAACATTAATAGAATTTTTTAAAAAATAAATTTATTTATTTTTAGTTTTCAACATTCACCTCCATAAGATTTTGAGTTCCAAATTTTCTCCCCATCTCTCCCCTCCCCAACCCCAAGACAGAGTATACATTTATTTAGGCTCAACATATACATTCATATTAAACCTATTTTCACATTATGTTGTAAAGAAGAATTAGCATCAATGGGAAAAACCATGAGAAAGAAGAAAAGAGAGAGAGAGAGAGAGAGAGAGAGAGAGAGAGAGAGAGGAGAGAGAGAGAGAATAATATGCTTCGATCTCCATTCAGACTCCATAGTTTGTTTTTTTTTTCTGGATGTGGACAGCATTTTCCATCATGAGTCTTGGAGTTGTCTTAGATCCTTGCATTGCTGAGAGGGGCTAAGTCTATCAAAATTAGTCATCACATAATGTGATTGTTACCGTGTACAATGTTCTCCTGGTTCTGCTCACTTCACTTAGCATCAGTTCATATAAGTTTTTCCAAGTTTTTCTGAAGTCTGCCTGCTCATCATCTCTTTTTTTTCTTTTTTTATTAATTTATTTTTATTTATCAACAATCACTTCCATAAGCTTTTGAGTTTTAAATTTTTCTCCCCCTCCCTCCCCCTCTCCCTCCTTAAGATGGCACACAATCTGATATAGGCTATACATACATATTCCTATTAAACATATCTTCACATTAGTGATGTTGTAAGGAAGAATTAGAACCAATAGGAGGAACCACAGGAAAGAGGAAACAAAATAAAACAGAAAGGAAAAAAAAGCAAATAGTATGCTTCAATCCGCATTCAAACTCCATAGTTCTTTCTCTGGCTGTGGATAGCATTTTCCATCATGAGACCTTGGGAGATGTCTTAGATCCTTGCATTGCTGAGAGGGGCTAAATGTATGAAAGTCAGTCATCACATAAAGTGGCTATTCCTGTGTACAACATTCTCCTGGTTCTGCTCACTTCACTCAGTATCAGTCCATACAAGTATTTTCAGGTTTTTCTGAATTCTACTTGCTCATCATTTCTTATAGCACAATAGTATTCCAATTACATTCATACACCACAACTTGTTCAGCCATTCCCCAACTGATGGGCATCCCCTCAATTTCCAATTCTTTGCCACCACAGAAAGAGCTGCTATAAATATTTTTGTACATGTGGGTCCTTTTCCCATTTGTACGATCTCTTTGGGATATAGCCCTAGAAGTGCTATTGCTGGGTCAAAGGGAATGCACAGTCGTATAGCCTTTTGTGCATAGTTCCAAATGGCTCTCCAGAATGGTTGGATCAGTTCACAACTCCACCAGCAATACATTAGTGTTCCAATTTTCCCACATCTTTTCCAGCATTTATCATTTTCCTGTTTTGTCATGTTGGCCAATCTGATAGGTGTGATGTGGTACCTGAAAGTTGTTTTGATTTACATTTCTCTAATTAATGGTGATTTAGAGCGTTTTTTATATGACTATAGAGGGCTTTAATTTCTTCATCTGAAAACTGACTATTGATATCCTTTGACCATTACACTGTTGTTGTGTTACGCGTCCTAGAAGGCCCTCCCTCTTAGCTGCACCTGTTGGCAGCCTATGTGACATTCAAACCCCATTTAAATGCCAGCCCCTCCAGGAAACCTTCCCTAATTCCCCTAGATGAAGATGATTTCTCCCTCATCTGATTCTAAGCATTCTGTATTTTCCTAAAACACTTAACATTTACTAATTTCTACTGTATTTATTTCTGTATCTATCTTATTTCCCCCTACTGGATTGTAAAACTCCTTAAGGTCAAGGGATTGTGGCTTATTCACCCTTGGCTCTCTCCCTAAGTGCTGAGTGCAGAGTTTTAAATAGAAAATAATATATGCTTAATAAATGTTTTTGAATTGGATATAAATGCATTATATATGTGTACACACATACACAATGTTTATTTAATCATCTTTAAGCCTTATTCTCAGAGTTTTAAAAACTCTGATCTACTTAATGATCAGCCAGAGAACTGATAAAGAATGCTACTCATCCCAGCAGCTAGGTGGTGCAGTAGATACAGCACCGGCCCTGGAATCAGGAGGACCCAAGTTCAAATCTGGCTTTAGACACATATAACACTTACTAGCTGTGGGACCCTGGGCAAGTCACTTAACCCCATTGCGTAGCCAAAAAAAAAAAGAATGCTACTCATCTCCTGGAATAGAAACAATGGATTCTATATATAAAATGAGGTGTGTATTTTTTGACATGGCCAGGATGAGAATTTGTTTTACATAATCATGGATATTTTTTACAAGGGCTTTGTTTTTTCTTTATTTTTTTTTCCTTCTCAGTTGGAAGGACAGAGGTGGGAGGAAAAGAAAATAAATGATTAAAAAAATTTAACTATAAAAAAAATTACCTTCAGGTACAAAAGAGGAAATTATGTACAATTGATCACCCTTTTGTTGTGTCCTATCGAGTGCTAGTCATACCTAATGGTTATTTGTCCAGCAACCAAACAAGAGACAGCAGATGACCAAGAATCTGCAGGTTAGGGCTGGTCTTTGGACAATAATCAGTTGTCCGGCAGAACATTTACATTTGTGGGTCACTCTTCCACTTCTAAAAAGATAATTTTAAGGTTAGAATTGACATTTATTTATAGAGAGCTTTAAAGTTTGCAAAGCATGCTATGAGCATTATTTCATTTGAGCCTTATGAGGTATGAATTATTATTTCCTTTTCACAGATAAGGAAACATGTTCAGTAAGCGGAAGGATTTGCTCATGGTCACTTAGCTAGTAAATGCAGGAGGCATGATTTGCATCCAGATCTTCCTAACCCCAAGTCTGGCACCCAATCCATTATATCACACTGCTTTCCAGTGTTTCTATGGTCTGTGTACCATAGAATTATAAAGCTGGAAAAGATTTCCAGAGGGAGATCTTTTAATCTGCACCCCCCCTCCCCTCCTTCAATTAAACTACTCCAGACAGACAAGCACTTAGCTTGGACTGAAAGATCTCTGAAACTCCCTCTGGTAACTCATTGAAATTTCTTCCTTATGTTTAATCTAAATCCTTTCTGCTATAATTTAAGCCTGTTTCCTCTCCTCCTGTACTCAGAGGAATGTAGTCACGACTGTGATTTTTATTATTTCTGTTATATCTAAAGAGGTTTTATTTACCTCCATCTCAGGATAGGTTTTACCCCTGGAGAAGGCACCCCCTTCCCCTGATGCACGTAGTGAAAGATGAATTTCCTGCCACAGCCAATGCACTAAGAGACTGACTCTATCATGCACACACACCCCCCACTGGCTCCACAGCCCAGGGGGCCCATACTCCTCAAGGCCACTCTCAGTTGCTCTTAATGCTGGCTGGTTCAATTTCTATTAAGAACATCTCATGGGACACAGTCTTCTGTTTTCTCACTCCTGATTTCCTTCTTCTATACTCATCATGTTCCTTTTCTTGTTGCCCTCATGACCTATCCTTTTTTCCCCCTCCCTTCTCCTCCTTTCTCTTCCATTATTTGTAACCCTGGTCAACCTGTGCCCTAAAACAACAGATCTTAGCCTCTGTTGGGTATGGTTGTCCAAAGCTTTCTTAACCTGGAAACTGGCATTTACCCAGTGCCTTGAAGGGAAGCCAGACCAGGAGCAGGAGCAGGGGGTATTTATGCTTCTGCCTCTGAACAGCGCCCAATACCTGATTCTGCAATCTCTGAATCTTGGTACATTCCAATACTACCAACAAAACACCCTTGTACCAGCATTGAGGATCAGCCTGCAATAGTCTAGGCCTCCTTCTGTCCTCTCAGCTCTACCAGCCTGAGGGCAATCTGCCCAGAGTTACAGATCTTGGTTCTGAGGTCTCTGAGGGGCTAAGGACACACATTTTGGAAAGATAAGGAATTCTATCTTATTGCAGGGAGAGATAGGATACACCTGTGCCTAGGTCTCAGCAAAGGATAGGACTAAGACAGGGAACCTATACGACTCTGCAATATGGGCCTCCACGTAGAAAGTGACTGTTCCCCACAATTATCCCCCGGCAGTAAGGCCCTGGGGTTTTTCTGTCTCCTCACAGACTACTGTGATACATACAATGCCCTTTGTTCCCAAAGCTCCTACTTCAGCCCGTCCTCTCATTGGAAGGTATTAAAGAAAACACAAGGTCTTCTTGATTCTGGAGGCCTACAGACACAGAGCTTGTCCCACTGTGACACAGTATGGTACAATAGTGAGGAAGAGTCAGGGCAGCAGGGAGGCTCAGCCAAACCCTGATCTAGGAGCTCATTCTATTCCTACAGCCCCTACTAACCACACATACCACCCTCCCACCTCCCTTCCCAGAACTAGGTGAGTATTTAAAGTACTGACTGCGTCATTCAGTTAAATCCAACAAGCATTTATTAAGTTCCTACTATATGCCAGGACTGTTACACACCAGGAATCCAAAGCCAAAACAAAAAATTCCTGCCCTCAAGTAGCTTACATTCTACTGGGGGGAAAAAACACCGAGTCTACAGATAAGCAAATTCAAAATAAAGACCAACTAATTTCAAGAGAGCAGGGAACATTAAACTGAGATGGCTTTTGAACTGTGCCTTCAGGAAAGCGGTGGATTCCAAGAGGCAAGATAAAGAGAGCTTGGGGAGGGAGGCAGAGCATGTGCCTAGAACAGAGGTGGAAGAACGGGAGATGATGGAACGTCCAGGGTGGGGACCATCAGACAGGTCAGTTGGGTTAGAAAGTAGAGTGCCTGAGGGGCAGTAACGTGAAATCAGTCTGGAAAAATAAGTTTTTATTTTAGCCTAGAGGCCATAGGGAGCCAAGGAAACTTCTTGAGCAGACCAGCTCAGACTTGAGCTTTAGGAATAAACATTTGGCTTCTGTGTGGAGGAGGATGGGCTGGGAGGAGAGAGCCTAAGTAGGGTAACCATTAACTAGCGGTGAGACCCTGGGCAAGTCACCTCTCCTATCCCATCTCTCTAGGCTCCCCAGAGCTCAAGTGATGGGGGTTGGACTAGATGAGATTATTTATAGGTCCTCTCCCTTCGAGGACCCTCTCCTCCTACGGGTCGCCGCGGTACCCCGACTCCAGATCAAGCCCCTCTAAGTAACTAGGCAGGGGGCGCAGGCTGGGCGGGAGCTGGGGCGGGGGGAGGAGGGCGCGCGCGCGCGCGCGGAGGAGCCGGAGCGCGGGGGCAGGACCGCAGCGGAGAAGGAACAGACCGGGGGAGGAGCGGCCGTGGGGGTTGGGAGGTGGGGGGAGGCGCCTCGGGTTGAGTCGCGCGCGCACGTGCGTGCGCGAGGGCCCGCTGCCCACGGGCTGCGCGAGGTCCAGGGCCGAGCGAGAAGAAGGCAAGGTTGCTATTTCGAGCCCGCAGTCCTTGTCCTCCCCCGCCTCCAGTCCCCCCACGGTGCGCACCATCCAGGAGAGGAACCTGACCAGCCTGCTAAACCCGAGGGGGCGGGGCCTGGGAGGGGCCTGAATGGGGCGTGGGGGCGGGGAAGAGTAGGGGGCTGGGGGGCGCAGCCGCGGTTGCGGTGACCTCAGAGCCCGCCCCTCTCTGTCCCCTCCTCTCCCCTCCTCTTCTCCCTCCCCTAGGAGCTCCAGGAACCTTGGGCAATAGTGGCACCTGGTGCTCCCCTCTTTCTGTCTTGGGGACAGAGTTCAGAAGCCTCACTCCCCCTCCTCCCCTGCCAACCTGGACCCCAGTTAGCTGGGGAGGCCGGTCCCGGAGGGGAGTGGGTCCCCAAACCTCACAAAACAGATCCTGGGAGGACGCAAACCCTCCTCGTCCTAGAACCCAATCCAGCCCCCAGTCATGGATCCAGGAAAGAGGGCCGTCGGAATCCAGGAGAGGCGCCACACCCCCGCCCCAAATAGTGAAACCTTTCACCTACCTAAACCCCGGTGCTCCCGGCTCATCAGTCAACCCCAATTCTTCAGGGGCAAACCCCACCCCTTTCCAACAGGAACACCCACATCCTACAAGGGGCCCGGCTCCTCCTCTCCTGCTAAGTGCATGTGTGTTTGTTATTGTTATAGCCTGTATACATGTCCCATTCGGTGCTAAGTTTTATGCATGTACATACATGTGCATCGATATGTATACAAGCAAGCATGTACATCTACGTATGCTCACATCCGAGTTGTTAGAGTGTGAACACGTAGATGTAAATAAATTTCACGCTGGTCTGTGTGCTGCGCCCAAGCGCAAGAATATGCACGCGTGAACCCATATACATGTTTACAAACATACATGTGTGTTCATATGTATGTACAAGTACAACCAACCCCTGACTTCTGGCTGTAGAAAGCTGAGAAGTTTCAGCACCCCTATTGTCTGTCCCAGGGAGAAGCCACTCCTGTGGAGACTCCCGGCTGGGGGGACCCAAGCCAGCTTTCGTGGCCTTATGCATTATTGATAATAATGGCTGTGTCTCTTTAACTGGGATTGGTTTACGACACCATGTGTGCGTGTGTGAGTGTGTGTGCGTGCGAGGGAGCGAGTGAGTGAGTGAGTGTGTGTGTGTGTGTGTGTGTGTGTGTGTGTGTGAGAGAGAGAGAGAGAGAGAGAGAGAGAGAGAGAGAGAGAGAGAGAGAGTGTGTGGTTGGGGGGGGGTAGAGACAGCTTGCATCTCTCATCCTGTGCTCTCTGGATCCCAGCTTGCTGTTTGCTGGGGAGGAGAGGGAGGAAACACATTTTGCTCCCTGCAAAACGGCTTTATTTATTTTTGGGACGAACCTCCAGCCTTTCCCCCAGGGTGGGGAGAGCTCAAAACAGCAAATTCTGATCCGAACCAGGGAGCTCAGCTGCTGCCTCAGAAGCAAGAGAGGAGGGGAAATCGGCCTTCCTCGGACTGGGATTGACCCCAGGACTGCCAGAGACAAGGGGGGTCGTCTGGCTGTATCCCTCTCCTCCTCCTCCTTCCCCCCTTCCCCCCCCCACGATATTTTTCTCCTTCTCGCTTTCATGCTCATCTCCACATGAAGGGAAGACTCCCTGCGGACAGCATGGCATGAGCCCGGAGCCGGCGCGTGAGGTAAGGGCTGTTTCTCGCCAGATCCTTCGCGGCACAAAGCCCCCGATGCCAGGTTGCATTGATGTCTAGAGGAGACATCCCACCCGGAGGGGCTGTGTGCCGTTACAATGAGAAGGAGGGAGGAGGCACGGTGCTTAATTACAGCCCTTTCTGAGTACCGGGGCAGCAACGAGATGGGCTTATGTAATGGCAAACACTCCTTCCTTGACCCACTCATTTCCAGTCTGCCCATGCAGACAGGCTCTGGCAATGAGACCAGAGACAACCAGATGCTACCAGGCAGGTATCCCTCCCTTCTTTGGCCCTGCTTTAAGGAGTTGGTGCTCTTTGGCCCCTCGTTCCGTATAAAGGGGGAAGCCATCAACCTAGTTAAGGCTTGTTTATTTCTTGACGTCTCACTCCTCCCTACCCACCCCACCCCCTAAGCCATCTCGAATCTTGATTTAGATTCCTCTCTAATCTGGGGAGACTCACTTCCAGGAGCACTGGAGGGGCTACTAGCCCAGGGAATGTAGTTGCAGGCCAAACCCACTATAGTCAATTGATGGGGAATGTAGTTGGGCCAGGATGGAGGTGCAGAATTGCAAATGCCCAGCTCTCTTCCCCCTCCTACCATCCATACAGTGGGCTAAGGCACTCCAGGCTGCATTTCCTTACCCCATTCCTCTCTCCCCTCCCCCCCCCCATGGCCCGATGAGCTGTCTATCTTCTGGAGTGTACTAATGTGATAGTTGGTAGATACAATTAAACTCAGAGATGGTGAAAAGTGGATTTCATGTTTTAGGGCAATCGATTACTTCTATTCTCTCAGAAAATTGGAGGCTGCTGGTTTGGGGTATGGGTGGGGAACAGTTCTCTAATTCATGAAAAACAGGATTATGGAGTTTGAAAGGGAAGAACATTTGGGGTGACAGGCATTGGAAAATGATGAGAGGGTGAGAGGTTTAGGGAGAACTGAGTTTGACATCCCTGAGGCCTGCTCAGAGGGGACTAAGGCCTGGTCTGAGTGCTTAACTGGAGGACAGAGACCAGGGAACTGAATGGAGCTTTCACGCTCTGAGAAACCTGTGCTATGTACTCTTCAGGTTTGAGGATTGACGGACAAGACAACCCTCAATCCACCACCTAGAGCTGCCAGCCCTTGTCCCAGTTGCTGTCTTCTCCTTCACTTCCCCCACCCAGTTCCTTGCATGCCCCTTTGCCAATTTTGTTCCCTGTTAGCCAGGGAAGATGGAGGCTTGCTTGTGCAGAGAAAGGCTATAACTCTCATCACAAACAACTCTAGCAGAGAAAAAGAGAGCTTGCTCCTTCACCAGGCTCTCCTCTGCCCTTCTCCCTTCCCTATCTTCCCTTCGCCCTTCTATACAAGGCCTGCCCTCCATACTCCTACTGTCCCACGTAAATGAACGGGGTCAGCTAAGGCCATTCGATTTCTTCCACTCTAAGTATAAATAATCCCAAGTTTCCTGGTTATGCAGCCCTGTCATCTGGTCTTGCTCTTTCCCATAACCTGCCTGCTGACGTGAGGTTGCCATAGGTGCTCTCTGAGAGTACATACAACTCCAGCCATAGGTTCAGGAAGAGAAGGTCAGCAGGACACTGAAAAGGGGGTTGTGTGATACATGCCTAGGACCAGGGGAAAGTTGAGAAACACACAGCTCTAGAGAGACAAAAGTTCTGGATGGGAGACCAGAGTCCTAGGAGGAATAGGAAGGAAGGGGGGGAAAAAAGCCAGATAGAGTTGAGAAAGGGCAAGGAAAATAGGTGCTCCCTTCCTAAAGATTGAGTGTTTGCACTTTCCTGGGGTAAATGGTTGCCCAGGTAATGCCAGCCTAGTGTGAGGAGGAAGAAAGGAAGAGCTGGAAGAAACAGGCATCAATTCTCTTATTTTTTGCAGGATTTTGCCCCTGGGTACCAAGAGCAGGTTGATCACGGATTCACACTGGACCTTCTCCTATAATGCTCTTCTTGCTGTCCTAGCCTCCTAGGATGCCTGTAGCTTGAAAGAAAGCATATGTTTCCTTAACAGCTGCCTGGCCTTCCCTAGGCATCATACCCCTGTTGAATTCCTTTTCATCTTTTAAAGCTCAACTTAGAAAGAAAGGAAACAGGCATTTTATTAAGCACTTAACTTTGTGCCAGGCACTGTGCTAAGCACATTTGATCCTCACAACAACCCTGGCAGGTGGGTGCTATTATTATCCCCATTTTACAGTTGAGGAAACTGAGGAACATTAAGTAATTGGTGTAGGGTCACACAGCTAGTAAATATATAAAGCTGGATTTTAACTCAGATCTTTCTGACTCCCTGCAGGCCCAGCACTCTCTACCCACGGATCTACTTAGCTAACTCTGCCCACTGAGCTACATGCTTTCTCCAGGAAGCATGATATAGTGGATAAAGTGCTAGATTCGGAGTCTGGAAGACCTCTATTCAAATCTAGATTGTTTCTAGGTCCCTTCCAACCCAAAATCTGTGATCTGCTTCCTTGGTTCCTCCTTCTATGCCCCACCAATAACAATACTTTCCTCCTTAGATCTCATTTGTTTTATACCTCTCTTATGCTGTAGTATTACCTATTATAACTAACTGTATATGTGACAAATCCCCCTGGAAACTCCATGAGGATTGAAATCATATCTTATCTAGACTTTGTAACTACCATAAACCTAGAACAGTGCAATGCACACAGTATTCAATAATTTTTAATTGAATTGTATTGAAATGGATCCCATAATAGACTTAGTTCCAATAAGCATTGGAACCTATTTCCCTACTTCAGCAGGTGCCCACTGCCCTTGGCTTAGGAAGGGGAATTTTCATGCCAAGATTCACATGTCAAAATGCCACAGTTAATGTGATCTCTGCCCAAATCTCTCCTATAAAATCATCCATTCCGTTCCTGATTCCTCATGGTGATACAGAGGGGTTGTGGAAAAGGCCTAACTATTAACCCCAGGACATCAGTCCACCAACAAGCATTTATTAAATGTCTGCTATGTGCCAGACACTGTGTTAGGTTCTGAGAATGAAAATACAAAAGCAATTCAGTCCCCACCTTCAACAAGCTTGCAGCCTGCTTGAGGGATGCAATATAAGAAAAGAAGTATTTTATAAGGGTTATGAGCAGAGACTTAGGAGACCACTAGGCTAGAGCCTTGGGAGCTCTGGTTCATTAGGAGTCATGGGTTCAGTACAACCCTCAGAAAAGGGGGGGGGGCAGAATTCAGCCAAAGAGAGAAAGGCCAATAATTGCTCAGGACAGCCCTAACCTATCCCATCCAAAAAATCTTGTCTGTGTTAGAGAGAGTGTTGGGTCTAGCCTTTAGTGAGGAGGAGCAATGGTAGTCTTGGGTGAGAGTTAAGCTTTAAAAGAACCTTTAAAAAGGAGCTTTAGAGAGAAAGGGTTTCAGAGTGGAAGGCATTCAGAAGATGGCTCTGTGAAAGAGAACTAAGGAACTCTATCCTCCTTTTCTTACTACCCCCAAGGAGTCTTAGGTCAGGGAACTTTATTTCAGTCATGATCCAATGGTCTTCATTCCTGTTGTATTGTCTTTGGCAAAGGCCAAGGCCCCTCTCTTCTATCTTTCTCTCATGCCATTACATTAGAAGCTATCAAATGAACCCAGGTATTCAGACAGACTCCCCATTGGTGTGTAGGTAACATCCCTAGGAACTATCTGGGGCTGGAATACCCTGCTGGGATAACAGAGAAGCCAGTCCCCCACCCCACCCTCACCCCAACCTTTAGACCAGAGCCAGACTTCAGTTTCTTCCCACTTTCTAAATAGGCACATGGTAGTGACGCTTTCTCCTTGTTGACGTGTACGATTTACCCTTTGGCCTAGAGCATTAATGTAGGGTCTCAGTCAATACTCAAGACATTGTGGTGGAGCTTACTCTTTCCCAAGAGTCCCTGGCATGCAGGTGGGGAGACTATAGCCCCCCTGAGAACATTTCTGAGCTGGGGGTGGGAAGAGAGCTCTGCTGTTATGACATCTGTAAAATGGAAGGAATTTTAATGTGCTTTAGTCATGGATTTTTGTCAGTGAAAGTTTCTCAGCTGAGGAGGAAGTTGCCCCCACAGTTTTTCTCTCAGCATCCTGGGTACCCCTTCTTTTCATCCCCTGCCATCTTATTCCCACCATGTGGGAGTTGAAGATTGATGTAAGCTCCCCTAGTCACCCACACCCTCTCAACCCTACCCTATGAGGCAAAGTTCTGCCCAAGCTTCAGGGCCCTGCAGAGAGAAAAAAGATTTTTTGAAAGTAACCTCATCAAAGAAACTTTGGAGGAGAGCTGGAAGTGAGAGTGGGCTGAAAAAGAAGTCAGGAGAGAGAGAGGGAACTCACTGATAGAAGTGTGTCCCATCTTTATCAGCACTCCTCTGAAGGTATGCAAAGCGCTTTACATACTAATTCAGGCAAGCCTTCCTCAAAGACAAGGGGAAAAGATGAGAAAATCTGAAAGAAGGAGAGGAAGGGATCAAGAGAACCAGAAGGAGGTTTTGGGAAGAAGCTACAGAGGAAGAGGGTTAGAGAAAAAGCTTGTAGGTATTTAGAGAAAGATGTCTTTCCATACGGAGCCTAACAGCTTATTAGTATGTGCGACAAAATAAGGAAATCCCAAGGAAATGAGAGGGGAGGTTGTGAAAGTAGGGTCAGAGCCCAAAGAAATCAGCAACTTATGGAACAGCAACCCCAGTACCTAGTACTAACAAGGCTAGATTTTTCAGTTTAAAGAGTTCACAGGAAGGGAATAGTATGAGAGTATGGCAAAAGGGAAGATGTACATGTCCTGCTTGAATACCTTCTGTGTCCTAACAGAGAGGATATGAATGAGGTCAATGCAGAAGGAAAGACAATGGACAGAACTTAGTGTCTTCCTATTAAGGGATTGTCTATTTAGGAGAAAGGGTCTGGGTTCCAGGGCCTGCAGCCTTCAGAGACATAGCTAAGGCTCAATCCTTACTTTTCTACCTGTGGGCCTTGTCTGGGGC